TCCCAAAAATGCTTATACTGCCAAGTAGTCTTGTACAATTTAGCTTCGTGCACGAGATCATCCATCATCCATCTATACCAAAGAAAATGAGAAATAATGTTAGGTTTGTTTTTAATGACAATATTTGAAATGGGTAATTAAATTATCAATTTCAGAGAATCGTAAGTTCAAATCAAAATTTCTAACTCATTTGCAAGTAATTAAATTATCAATTTCAGAGTATAAGCTACTAACAAATTTAAAATGGGTATTAACAGATTGGACAATGAGACTCATGTTTACACAGAGAAAAGTGCAAGGTTCATATATGGTCATGGCAAACACAATCAAGCTTGACAAGCACAGACAGACGTAGAAGACTACTACAATGTTGAAAACAATCTTTCTCTTATTTATGGTTTTCTCTGTTTTTTCATTTCTTTTCATTTCTTTTTCTTTGTTTATGGTTTATTTGTTTCTACTTATGTAGTTACTTCAAAGGAATGATCCTGAAAAGTTTGTGAACCCCGGAATCGACCCTCCTAAGGATGTTCTATGCTATGGTCCACCTGGTACCGGTAAGACACTTTTAGCTAGAGCTGTGGCTAATAGAACTGATGCGTGTTTCATCCGTGTTATTGGAAGTGAACTTGTAAAGAAATATGTTTGATGATTACTAATCCATTTCATTTTAGGATATTAATATTCCATTTCATTCCAAGGCCAGAGGAAATTAAAAATAAAAAAATAAATAAAAAATTTAACATCTAATAGTACCTAATGTGGCAACAATTTTAATGCTACATCTGTTTGATGATTACCTGGTCGAAACCCATTTATTGACTAATCAGAAAACATTCAAAGGTTGGAGTTGGTAGGTTGTCATTAATTGGATTTCCATGTGAGGTTGGTGAAAGGAATCATCAACCTATTATTGGGTCTTGGCATCAACAACATTTGCTCTACCTTCCTTTGTAAATAATTTAGTATTATAATGCTATGTTTATATATATATATATATATATATGACAAGAGGTGTCACAGAGAGAGAGAGTGTTGATAGTTTGGAATTTGGAGTGTTGATAGTTTCGAAAAGAAAAGTAGAGCCTTGTCCTTAATATATTCCTCTGCTTATGTCCTACTGAGAAAATAATAGAAAAGCAAAGAAAAGAAGTTAAAAAACTAACAAGTTGTAGCAACAATGGTGGCCAAGAAGCCAACAATGGTGGCCAAGAAGCAACAATGATTTCCCAATTCAGAAAATTGCTAAAGAAATCCATTCACTTGACTCTAATCAGCATTGGGAGTGTATGTATGGGGCTTTGCATGATCCACTCACTATTGCTGAAGGTGGGCATGAGCTCAATCCATCACTTGTCGATTCAATAACTAGTTTTTTCAACAAACTACTGGATTTTGCTCAAGGAAAGGTGAGTGAAGAAGGATTGAGCAATGAAGAGATTGAGTATTGTAAGTTTATAGCAGCAAAAGGCTTTAATGGAAAGCTCAGTGTTGGTTCTTTTCTATGCCATTGCCCAAAAATGGAAATTATGTAGCTGATGCCTAAGTTATTTTTAGTCAATAAATTAATTTTTTTAGCTAACTCCCAAAGAAGTTGATTCAGGTTTTGTTTGATTAAAACCAAAACAACTTTATTTGGCGGATTCTTAAAAGCCAACTTATTGGTTTAAAAAAATTATTTTGTTAAAAAAAAAAAATCATAGTTCATTTGGAAAATTATTTTCTCATAAAAGTTTATTTCAGCCACTCTAAAAAGTTATTGGACAAAACAAAAAAATTCAGAATATACCAAACAAATTAATTTTTTTAAATTTTATTTTTAACTAATAAACAAAATTTTTAACTAACTCCCAATCAAAACCTTAGACATATTTGGTGCACATAATCAACCATAATACAAGTTTATACATGAATTTCATTTAAAAATTTGTTAAATTGTGTTGATTTCATAATTAATTTTTCTTTTCTTATGGGGTCATAATCATCAATTTTATTGATGACATGACATCAAAATTTGAAACAATTTTAACAAGGGCAGCAAATTCCCCTATATATACAATTCATGCCATAATTTTCATAGGGATATAAAGGGAAGGAACAAGATGTTAGATCATTTGACTGTACTATATGTAACAGTTCTTACATTTCCACCTGTCAGACCAGTGGTCCAAAAAAGAGAATTAGTTGGGACATCTTTTTAGACTCTTGTGACATTGATCAATTAGTCGTAGAGGTGGAGTGGCAACAATGGTAATAATGCTGGTAGTGGAATGACATTTGCAGTAGTAGTGAATGTGGTAGAGGAGATGGGTGGTGAGAGAGAGTTGAGTGAGAGACAAATAGAGAAGAGAGATAGAGAGAGAGACAGAGTGATGAGCGAGAGAGACTAAAAGTGCATTTTCTTGTAGTGAAGAGCTCGGTAAATAGAAAAGAGGGGAGGGAGAGAGTGAGCAAGGTGAACACAATGGGGGAGAGAGACAGACAAGCGGACAGACACACAGAGAGAAAGAGAGATAAAAGAGTGAGAGACAGCTAGATAGACATAGAGAGAGAAAGAGAAAGAGAAGAGTGATAAGTGAGAAAGAGACAGAAAAGGAAAGAGATAGAGAGAGAGAGAGAGGGACATAGAGAGAAAGAGATAGAGACAGAGATAGAGAGAAACAAAAGATGAGTGAGAGATAGACAAAGATAGAAAGAAAGAGAGTGAAAAGAGATGATCGAGAGAAAAACATAGAAAAAGAGAGAGATAGAGAGAGAAGAAAGATGAGCGAGAGAGACAGAGGGAGAGATAGAGAGAAGAGAGATGAGTGGGAAAGATAGGGATAGAGAAACAAAAAAGATGAGAGAGATAGAGAGAAGAGAGATGAGCGAGAGACAGAGACAAAGACAGACAGACAGACAGAGAAGAGTGATGAATGAAAGAGAGGAAAAGAGAGAGAGAAAGAGAGACAAAGAGAGAAAGAGATAGAGAGTGAGAGACAGAAAAAGAGACAAAGAGAGAGGAGAGATGAACGAGAGAGACAACGAGAGAGATAGAGAGAAGAGAGATGAGCGAGAGAGACATAAAGAGAAGAGATATGAACGAGAGAGATAGAGAGAAGAGAGGTGAGCGAGAGAGACAGAGAGAAAAGAGATGAGAGAAGAGATAGATAAGTGAGAGACACAGAGAGAGAGACAGACAGACAGAGAAGAGTGATGAGTAAGAGAGAGAAAGACAAAAGAGAGTGGAAAATGAAAAAATTGGTGAAAAGAGACAGACAAATAGAGAGAGAGAGAAAAAGAGCGAAAATAGATAAACGAGAGAGAGACAGGGAGAGATGAGCGAGAGAGGGAGAGAGATAAAGAGAAGAGAGAGAGAAGAGAGACAGAGAGAGAAGAGAGATAAGAGAAATAGAGAGAAGAGAGATGAGCGAGAGACACAGAGAGAGAGAGACAGACAGACAGACAGAGAAGAGTGATGAGTGAGAAAGAGAAAGAGAAGAGAGACAGAGAAAAAAAACAGAGACACGGAGAGAAAGAGAGCGAGAGACAGATAGAGAAGAGTGATGAGTGAGAGAGAGAGAGAGAGAAAGAGAAGAGAGACAAAGACAGAGACACATAGAGAAAGAAAGAGACAGAAGACAGAAAGAGAGAGAAAGAGTGATGGGTGAAAGATAAAAAATAAATTTTTATTTTACATTCAGCGACTAAATTATTTTAGTTGCCAAAACTATATATACAGCGACCAAAATATTTTTTAGTCGCTGAAATTAAAATTTTGCCGACCAAACTTTTGGTCCCCAAAGATAAAAAATAAATTTTTATTTTTCATTCAGCGACTAAATTATTTTAGTCGCCAAAACTATGTATACCGTGACCAAAATATTTTGTAGTCGCCAAAATTAAAATTTTGCCAACCAAACTTTTGGTCGCCAAAGATAAAAAATAACTTTTTATTTTTTATTCAGCGACTAAATTATTTTAGTCGCCAAAACTACCTATACCGCGACTAACATATTTTTTAGTCGCTGAAATTAAAATTTTGCCGACCAAACTTTTGGTCGCCAAAGATAAAAAATAAATTTTTATTTTTCTTTCAGCGACTAAATTATTTTAGTCGCCAAAACTATCTATACCGCGACTAACGTATTTTTTAGTTGCTGAAATTAAATTTTTGCCGACCAAACTTTTGGTCGCTAAAGATAAAAAATACATTTTTTTTTTCATTCAGTGACTAACATATTTTTTTAGTCGCCAATTGTGGAAAATTTAGCGACTAAATTTTTTTTTATTCGCCAAAAATTAATATACCCCGACTAAAAAAATTTAGTAGCTAAATATTGTACTTTTACCGACTAACATAATTTTTGGTCGCCAATTCCACAACTTTTGGCAACCAAAATATTTTTAGTCGGCAAAAGTGGTCGCCAAAGCTGTATTTTCTTGTAGTGTTCTTACATTTTTAGAAGCAAATAAATTAATCATGCTTGCATAATTTAGTTTTTTTGTAAAATCATTTTCAATGGATAAAAATACTAATCCATTCAATCTTTCTTGTGATATTGGTTGATCGAAGGTAATTTTTGATCATTTTCAACTTTGAAAAGCTTCTTTCCCCCAATGCAATTGTAACCAGAATAGTCAAAAGTATCCTATAAGCAACCCATGAATTTGGAAAATAATTTTCCATCAACTGTAGATAATTGAGCACTTCAATTGGTTTATTGACTTTTTTTGGCAATCTCTCTGACTTTTAGCTCCATCAGTAAATCTCTTCCATCAATATCGAAAATCTCACAATGTTTTAAAAATTCTTCAAGGTTCACACACCTCGCCTTCAATGATTCATCGTTGCACTTTTTCAAGTCAAACAAAAAGCCAAAGTTTGCCTCATATACTTTGAATTGTTCAAACCTATTTTTGAGTGAACAAAGGGCTTGATCAACAAAATACAAGAAGTAACAAACTCTAAATGATTCTTCAACCGACTGGGTTACCTCTTCGCTAACATTCTCATCAAATTATTTCTTTCTAGAAATGATACGCTTTTCAACAAATGTAGGTTCAATTCCCAATTCACTTGTCATTTCTTTAGGTTCAACCATAGCCTCCATGAAACCAACTTCTCTATACATTGCAATATACTTAACAAGCCCATCTAGCTGCTTTACAGCAACTGCTATACCCATATCTTTACTTTGAAGAAGCTTGCTAACAGAGTTCACATGAAACAACAAATTGTACCAAATTACAATACTAAATAAGAACTCAAAAGTCTCAAGTTCATGAGTTATAAGGGATTTAGCTTCACTTTTTGCAATTGAATCTGTGGTAGAATTGTTGTACAAGTCAACTAAAGCATCTCTTATTTTTGAAGCATGGTATCTTAGTGGTTTAACACTTTCAATGCGACTTTCCCAGCGCGTTTGCGACAACGATTTAACCGTGAGGCCTTCCTTTAGATTATCTTTTAAAATTGCCCAACGTTGAACAGAAGATGAAAACAATACATATATGCATTGTACCACACCAAATTTTTTTTTTGCTTTAGAGCAAGAGTTGGCCATATCACAAAGCATAAGGTTAAGACTATGTCAACCACACGGCGTATAGAATGCTCTAGGATTTACTTGAAGTACTCTTGTTTGAACACATTTGTTTTTGCCTTTCATGTTAGAGCCATTGTTATATCCTTGCCCTCTTAAGTCACCAATATCAAGTTGAAGGTTAACTAATGCTTCTTGAAATTTATCAAAAAGTCCCATCCCCGATGTATCGTCCACATTCAAGAATTCAAAAAAAAAAAAAAAAACTCTTTCACCGTAATTGGACTTGTTGAAACATCCACATATTGTACAACAAGAGACATTTGTTCTTGATGGCTTATTTTCGAAGTACAATCAAGTATGACCAAAACGTATTTTGCTAATTTGATTATCAACAAAATTGCACTTTTGACTTCCCCGACCAATATTTGTATCACCTCGTTTTGAATTTTGTGACTCAAATAATGGTAATGAATCTCACCCTTTTCTATCTGCCGCAAGTGCTGTTCCATCGTTGGATCAAACTTACCAATCATTTCAATTGTGCTTAAAAAATGTCCATTGCTCTCTTCATAAATCATCCCATGGCTTCCACAAAAAGGCAAATTATTCTTGGCAAGTGTTTTCACAACTGCAATTATCATCAATAAAACTTGTCTCAAGTGCTCTATTTCTTTGTAACTTGTTCTTGTATACTTTTATCTATTGTTTGATGCTTTCCCAATCTTTCCTCTAACTTAATCTATTTGCTCATGCAAGTAATGTGCTCATTACCACTTTCATGGCCTTTAGGCCTCTTACCAATATTTCTCCAGTCTTTAAATCCTTCGGTAGCCAATTGAGTCTTATTTCCCTCTTGCTTAAACAACTTACAACAAAAGCAAAATACTCTATCCAAAAGTTTCGAGTATATCAGCCATGTCCTATCAAATTTTTCTTCATTTGGTAAATGCCGAATGTAATGAACAGGTAAGAAATGCCTATGCCTCGAAGAATCATCCTTAGAGAAGTTGAATTCACAATTTCTTCTCATAGGACCTCTTTTAACTAAAAAAATTTCATAAATTCTGGTCAATTATTTTCCAAGTCCCCGGACCATCTATATTTGAATGCTCACATTCCACATTCATCTTATCATCTTGATTGGCTTTTGCACTCCTGAATTCCCCATTGCCTTCTTTATCCACCAAATTTTCATTCTCATTATTCACCATAGTTTCAAATTCTTCATTAGTCAAGTCTTCAACTCATTGTTTTGCTTGTTTGTCACTCGTAAAGAACTTGTCAATAGCTCCTCTTTGACACTTGACTAATTTTTCGACTCTTTACTTCTTTTTCCTTTTTGCGAGTCCAGATGGCTTATTTCTTTTAAGAGTCATGATGAACTGAAATCAAATACTTTTTTAGATCAAAATTCAAAACAAGTGCACCACCACCACTTAACAAAATAAAAAAAACTTTTAAATTATGTGATGTTACAAAGAAGGCCCTATGAGTGACATGGAATAATTGTCTACAAGGCAACTAAATAATCTGCTATAGCTGTTTTATATTTTTGGGTGAAAAAAAAAAAAAAAACAAAACTTGAGAGAGGAACAGAAACAGTAGATTTGTGGAGAAAGAACTGAAAAAAAACAAAGTGTGTGAAACAAAGGAGACAATAGCCATTGTAAGTATATCAGACAAACTATTAAACTTAAACAAATTATTAAACTTAAATAAATTCTTAAAAAAAGATAAGACAAATTCTTAAACAAATTATTAAACTATATCAGACAAACTATTACACTTAAACAAATTCTTCTTGATGATGTAAATACTAATATTATAATAGCAATTGAGCAAAAGATAAGAGAAATATTTAATTAATTGAATAGAAAAAAAAAACTTGCCTGTGCTTGCTATGCTGCTACTGATCCGTGGACCGTGTGCTCTGTTTTGTTTTGTTTGCTACTGCTAGGTTGTGCTCTTTGTTGCGCTGCTACTGTTAAGTTGTTGGAAAAATTGAATTAAGAGTAATTAGGGTTGTGAATTAGATAGGGAGTGAGAATGGACCTTTTTAATTTTGATTGGGCCTTTCAATTTTTTAATGTGTCAATTTATTTTTAAGTTAGTTTGGACATTCTTTAATTTTTTTTTGGACTTGAAACATACCTAATATATTACACTAAATTATAATAGGAGGGAACCCATTTTTTGAGTCCATTTTGAGGGGCCCTAGGCCATGGCCTAGTGGGCCTATACCCAAGGCCGGGCTTAGATCCATCCCTGTAAGGACCCGACCCTCGCGTATGTTTCTGGTATATTTTCAGTCCTTTATTTTGTATATTTAAATGCTTAATGTGAAATTTCAGGTGAAATTAAGTTTAAGCAAATGGACTTTATGAATAGAGACCTATATCTGTTTAATAAGGAAAATCTCTATTACAATTAAAACGGTTGGATCAGAAATTGAGAGCCTTAGAGGCTTGATAATCTGAAATTGATTTTACATTTGAAATCAGCATGATTTTTAAGACATAACAAGCATTTTTGTGAAAATTTGATTTGGGATGATTAAATTGTTTGATTTTTGTTTTATTCACTATATATATATATATATATAATTGTCATCTTAAGCATTTGACTTAAAAAGATATTTCTTGGGAGAGGGTTAGAGAGGAGAAGAAGGTATTTACCAAGGAAGAAGGTTGGAAACTTGAAGTGAATTTGAGAGGCCTAAGCTTAAGGTAAATCTATTCATCTCCTACAACTCTTCTTTTGAACTTGAGAGAGATTTCCTCATAATCATGTCACTTAAGGGTTGTAATTGTGATCTTATGTGTGTGCAAGAAATTAATTGGCAAGATAACCTTACTTTTGATTGTTTTGATTCAACTAGAGTTATCTATGAGAAGTTACATTCTATTCCTTCAATTGACTTGCTTGAACTCAATTATGTGGGCATGGCTTTGTGTATATATGTCTATGCATGTGAAGTTAGAAATCTCATGAAATTAGGTGTGTTTATGAGCTTAAGATTAATGATCTAACTTATATTAAATTGATGTATGTGTTGTAATTCATACTCACGTGAGTTTTGGGACCATATTCTAGCAATTTATGGACTTGTTCTGAGCTCTATAAATACATACAAAAATGGAACTTTTGCTTGATTTTGGACTGCACAAGATTGAGCAAATCGCCGCACTTGCGGGGGTCATGGCTGCACGCGCAGAAACATAGCCGCACGTGCGGGAGTCATGGCTGCATGTGCGGGAAATGAGGGATTTTTGGGTTTTGCCTACTACTAAAGAAGCACGTGTGGGGATTCCCAACTGCACGTACGGGACCAACCGCCGCACCTACGGGGCTCACAGCCGCACGTGCGGCCCATGCTGGGAAAGTTGGATTGCTCCGTTTTACGTGCTCGTCCCTCGGATATTTTTGAAATCTGTATTTGATGCCTTTTTTATATTTGTAAATTCATTCGAAACAAGTGAGTCAGGAAATGATTTAACAAGAAAAAGGAATTAACTTACGAGTTATATATGTGTGCAGGACGCATTCCAAGAAGGACTAACGCTCTGCCACTACATCGTGAGTAATAGTACTGTGTTGTACGTTTGATTACTGTTAATAGCTAACATTAACCCTCCGTTATCCGTAAGTAAACTACATCGTTTCTTAACGAACGAATGGAAATTATGTTCATCCTTGAACAATGGTAGCTATGTGATTCTGAGATCATTCTGTCGTGTTATACATGGTCCCGGGGTCGTCCAGAATTTATGATATGAATACAAAGGTCTGACATCGTTATATAACTCACGTTAGAATGTGAACTGTTTTGTCCCTATTAAGCATACTGTAATGATGGATGTGCTTTCTGTTAATAGCTGTTATTATTATTCTGTTATACGCAAGACAATTATGTCAATCTATGATTAAACCATGGGAAAATCTTTGTGCACTATTGAGTACTAGTACTGTAATTGCACATTTACCTATCGTTAATAGTTATTATTGTTAACGCTCTGTTCTTCGCAAGTTAATTATGTTAATATTTATAAATAATTGGAAAATCTGTGTACGTTGATACGGTTCTGGAATCATTCTGGCCTAAGGCCAATCTGTAAAATACGCTTTACTTATTGCTAACAATTATCATCAACACTCTGTTAAACGCAAACTAACTATGTTAACTCATGTGAATGGTTGAAAGAATCTGTGTGTCTCTGTATAACTCTAAGACTAGTTTGTTTTGATGATATCTAGGCCATAGGCCATTCTGTATAATCTGTTATGCCATAGGCCATTCTGTATAATCTATAAGACCTATTGTTTTCTGGTATGGAACAAAGTGCTGAACGGAATTAAGTGCTACAATGTGAGTCACCTCTAGAATCCGTGCGAGACACCTCTTGAGTCCATACATATATGAACTGGGTTTAAAGCCGATTTGTTAATGTCTGGGCCTATGGCCTTTCTGTGAAATCTGGGAGACCTATGGCCAATTTGTGAAAGCTGGGCTTAAAGCCAAACTGTGAATCTGTTAGGCCGAGGGCCACTCTGTGAAATCTGTGGGCTTTCAGCCATTCTGTATTCTGGGCTTAAAGCCACTCTGAAGACTGGGCCCAAGGCCGTTCTGGAAACAATTACAAGATAAGATTAACTATAAGTTCTCTGCATTCATATACCTTGTGGTTCCAGTTATTTATTGGATTATTATGTACTATTATTCACTGGGCTTGGCTCACCTGATGTTATGTCTGTTTCTGTAGGCGCTCGACCTGGAGGTCAGTCTTAATCCATGGTAGTCGTACCTCTTTTGTCAACCACAGTGTGTTCAGGCACTTAGAGAAAGCTATTCATTTTGTGGAGTTTTGCTAAGCTTTTGGCTTTCTGTTCTAATTGCCTGCTTTAGATTATTATGTGTACAACCCCTTCCTTACTGAGGCTTTTATTATACGCCCAATTGTGGGGCTGGATCTATGTAGGTGTATGTATGTAACTAAAGCTCGGGTGTATGTTTCCTGGAAATTACTTACCCAATGCGATGTTTACGATCTTGGCATGGTAGGGCTAGCTCAATGGATATTGTTTTATGTTATTTTATATTATTAATGCTTCCGTTCAGGCCTCATATCTTATGTACATCGAGTTAAGTGTCCGTTTCTGAAGTGGTCATGCCTAAACTTTTAGGGGCGGATTTGGGCGTGGCACTCCCAATCTTCAACCCTAACATACGAAAAACTATTCAATACTCTTAGAGCGTCATATATTCATACTCTAGGATTAATCATCATACATTATACCCCCACATAAATCACTAAAATGCAGTGAGTGGTCTAGTTCACTTTGCAAAGTTTTAAATAAAGGGAAAATCACAGTCAATGTGTCCTTTTAAAAAAAAAATTCATTAGGTGGTAAATCTTACAAACTTTGATAATTAAATCAATAATTGATCTATAAATATTTCGTGATAGAACAATTTAAGTGTAATTTCCCCTTAAATAAACACTCCTGTGGGCCTATCTAGTGTACTCATGCTTGAAAGTGTCTTTCTTTTTTCCACTGCAACTGTCGCTTGGGTTGTCATCTAATCATGATCCAGGAAGTTTCAAGCTCGAATACTTGTGTGCAGGTGCACATAATTTAAACACACTTCACTTGATAGATTCTCAAGATAGTTGATTAACGGGAAATTGTAAATAAGCGAAACAGTGGAGAAATTATTGCATTATAGATGGAATTTTTTGTGGTGCAATTCCGACACAGTGAGGACTTGCATCGTACACATAAACAATTTGTACCATACACACAGTAAAGTTGTACCATAAAAATGCAAATAATCTTTCACTATACCATTGATTTTTAATCTCCTCTTTAATTTATTGATTGAACCAATGGTGGATCCAAAAATCTTAATAAACGGGGCCAAATTATATATAATTTTAAATGTTTATGATATTTTTTGTTGTTATATTCTTACCAAAGTTTTGCACGTATGTTGTACTAAAATATTCACTTTTATAAGTATAAAAATTGAATATTATCATTAAAAGTTTCCATTAATAAAATAATATGTATCAAAATAGAATTATAAAGTACATTTTGCACATTATATAAATTAAAAAAATGATAACACAAACAAGATCTTTTTTACATTAATTAGTCACGTTACATTAATTTGGACCATAACCGAATATTAAAATCGAAGTCACTACAATAA